CCCCCCCCCCCCTCAGAAACGATTTTCCACTTCAGATGGTCCTTTTGGGCTGAAATTTTCAGGAATGAGTGATCTTGGAGAGATACGCTTCTGGTAAAAATTTCAGCTCGATTGGTCGCACTAGACCGGATTTCTAGCTGATTCACAGGTCATTTTTGACCTTCAGAAGAATCGATATAACTTTGTCGTAAGATGGGGTAGAGAGCTCGGGTTGGTGTCAAATTAAAGCCAATGTGAGTACGCAACTTTTGTCCGAACAGAATTTTGAAATTCAATCTCATTCATTTTTTATGAGCATTTTAGTGGGATGGTCTTAAAATTAGCATAAAAAATGGTGGTCCAACGACAGTAAATCCCACTTTTCTCAGCCCAGGAACCAACTATAAAAAATCCGTTCGGACAAAAATTTACTCTCACTAAGACCTTTAAAACAAAAGAAAATTATTGGTTATAGCTTGAAACAGGACGGAGTTATTTCAATTTTTCTGTCTGGAAACCGTATTTTGAGAAGAGCGCTAAAGAAATTTTAGAACTGGATTTTTTCATTCAAATCCAGAAAAAATCATATTACAATGGGATATTATTAATTCATTCCAGTGGATCGTTTTAGACTACGTAAGAGATGAAGGTAACTAACGCCATCTGACATGCTGGGTAATATAAAAGTGTTCTACTCAACGCTAATGCAAGTGGCAACGCAATTTTTCCAAAACTGAAATACCTGAAAAATCACGAAAATTTCTCCGAAAATATGATAGTAGAGTCAAAGTTTTATATAAGTCTTTGAAAATCTGCTCATTTTCCAAAAAGCTATATATATTCTGAAAGAGGAAGCTTCGCTGCATCTTCCTGTGATAAAAACTCAACTTCGATATTCCCTTGAAAAATTCGACTTTCTAAGGGGGGGGGGGGGCCTTAAATAAATCAAAAACAAAAAAATAATTTATTTCAATTTATATTTATTTAATACACACAATCGAGCTCTTCAGATTTTAAATTAGGTAATACATCAGCTAATATTGCTTGAACTTCAGCTAATTTATTCTTATTTCCTGTAACAAAAGTAACTACTACCATTCTCTTTCTTTTTTCTTCTATCTATAAAAGAAAATGTATAATATTTTGTTCTCGTTCTTTTATATAAAGAAAATAATAAAAAAAAAACATATCCAAAAACGTTAAATATTTTTCGTTGTCACAACAACAAACAGAATTCACCTTGTCGTAAAGTAATAGATTCATAAAATTATCGAATATTAAAATATAACGATGATGAAATATTTTATACTATAAGTCGTATGACTAATCATCCCAAAAAAAAATTTCACAAATGTTTTGCAATTGTATTCTTATTATTATTATGAAATATATATATATAATCAAGCAAAAAAACAATCAGAACAACAGCTTTTATGAAAAATTATCCATAAATGTTTACGTTCTAATTTAGTTTCTTCATTGATTATTCCAATATCTGAGATGCGATTATTTCAAGATAGTTCCACAAAAAGAATTCGAATCCAACACCTATCACAAGACTAATTCAAGTTCTAATGAAAAAAGTTTTCGCAATCCGACATTGGCCTAGGCGGATCTGAGATTGGACGCTGACATATACATAGATTCAGCAGGAAGAGAAGAATGTACGATAGTCGAATAATAATTTAGTATATAGTTTCCATAAAATACATTTATATTTTATCGAAAGTTCTAGGTTTTTCAAGCTTCTAGTGAATACACTCACTATCATCAGCAAATACCAACAACAATACAAACTATAGAGAACAATTACAGGCATTTATATCCAGCTGAATGATTTAAGAAGAGAATATTTTGAATAAAAAGAGAGAATATATATAAGAAATTATTTGAATCTATGTTCGCTCAATAGGTTTTTATATTTTGTTTTTTTTTTGTTTTTGTTTCGTGATGATGATAGGCATGACATGCTAACCAAATAATTAAAAGAAAATTGCCAAATTAGGATAGAATTCAAATATTTTGTGTTACTTATATACTTAATTATTTATTCAGCTATCATTCATTCTCCTCTTCCTGTTTGATTTATATAAATGATAGTAATTCACTTTTTTGTAACACTCACTTTAACTGATTCTATGAACAAGGTTGACCATGCGTACCTGTTGATTCTAGTCTTACTATCTACAGGGTGTTTCAAAAGTTTCTGAGAAAAGTAAATTCTTCTTACTCCTTTATTTGTCAAAACGAATCAACCAATCTTATTTCATATGATAGGCATCGCCGTGAAGTTTTAATCGATACGGATGAACTTAGCAAATAACGTTGAAAGATATCACTTTTGTCTGAAATACAAAAAATACGTTTTTTCAAATTTCACTGAAAAACTGTGTGTTTTCGATTTTATGATCGTTTCAATTTTTTGTGATATTCTTAGTTTTAAATTTTCTAGTGCAGTTTTATTAACTTATTTTTGTGGTATATTAGCGAACCTTAATACTTTACCTCATTTCATGAGAATATCTAAAAAGAATAACTATAAATCGACGCTGAAAAATTTCGAAACTCAGAATATTACAAAAATTGAAATGATCAAAAAGTCCAACAATATTTAGTTTTTCCAGTGAAATTTGAAAAAACGTATTTTTTGTATTTCTGACAAATAAAGGAGTATGAAGAATTTACTTTTCTCAGGGACTTTTGAAGCACCCTGTATCTTTGTATTTTGTTTTTACTTTGAGACTATTTATATGAATTAAAAACATGAAATGTTCTGAAAGTCATTGACAAAAAAGAAAACTTTATATTTCGGTCATAGGTCCATTGGATAAACTGGTTTTGTACTAATAGTAGAGAACTATTCGAAGTTTTTATTCAATAGTATGGATATCTCGAATATTCTTATAATTAACACTTTCTGGTTCGATACATAAAAAAGTTGTTTTACGAGATACAAAAAGAAAATAATATAAACGACTGTTTCTTGAATATTTTCCGCGTATATGTTTATAAAGAAAGAAAAATAGGCCTGAATGGCAGAAGATGCGCAATAATAAAATAACATGCAATTAATTCAATACAGTAGATATCGTTCTTTAGCACCTCGGAAAAGAATTTTAGTTGTGTATTGAACCTGAATGTGTTACTTTGTAAGAGTATTTGAGAAATCTACTTAGGGTTGACCAAAAGTTCGTAGAACAGTGTTGAAAGAACCTTGTCGAATAAGGTAACCTATTCAGAAATGAAAAACCGAATATACCATGTTGTAGAGCTTTTTGAGGCGCGTCGAATGGTATATAATAAATCCTGTTTTCATAAGACTTTGAAGAAACTAGAGTCAGTTTACTGATAGACGACTACACATCCCCAACCACACCCTCATCCAAGCATGATAGGTTATTGAATTTTGTGGTCCTTGGTACTAGTCGAAAGTATTTGTAAAATATTTTTTCTCACATACGATTTTGTAGAGTTTTTCACGGGCTACAACCTCATATACGTAGCATCTCCGGGCATCTTGTCAGTGTGGGTATGGGTGTGGGTGTGTAGTCGTTTGTCAGTAAATTGACTCTAGTTTCTTCGAAGTCTTATGAAAACAGGATTTATTATATACCATTCGACGCGCCTCAAAAAGCTCTACAACATGGTATATTCGGTTTTTCATTTCTGAATAGGTTACCTTATTCGACAAGGTTCTTTCAACACTGTTCTACGAACTTTTGGTCAACCCTAAGTATAATTGAAGAAATTTGAAATTTCCTATGTTCATTCGATTTCTTCTTATTTATTAATGTATATCAAATGAAGACAAATCTAAAGAAGAATTTCATATCTGTCCGTTTTCTTTTTATTGGTGATCCATATTTTAATCTTTTATAGAAAATTTTCTTTCATATGGATTTGATTTATATGATTCATAGTAAGTATACATATCTTCTTTTTCTTTTCTTTTGTCTTCGATACATATAAACATGCGTGTTCTTTTTGTTGATGTATATGTATATGTAAAAAAAAAACAAAAAGATATAAGAAATTAGATCATTTCTAAGAATTAATTATCTTAACCTTAATATCAATAAGTTGTTGAAAATGAAATTGATTTTCTTGAAATTTGTTCGTATTTTTCAAAGTTATTATCATCTATTTTCAACAATGATAGCTGATCTTATTTATTCTAATATGAAGATTATCTTCCATAAGATGGTATCTCTTTTGTTTTTTGCTTTCTAGATGGGTATGACAAAAGCAAAAAAAAATCTTTTACACAACTATCCAGTTGATCGAGATGGTAAGTGTTTTTTAGAAATATAAAAGATTGATGAGTCTGATGCACCATGATTCTTTTCTAGCTAATGGTAATTATCTCTGTTCGTGGTGTACAAATGGAACTCAAACAACCAGAAATAAATGGATTGATCATGTACATGACAAACATTTTCCACAATTTCAAAGAATACTAAATCAACAACGAGAAAAAAAAAGACAAGAAACGAAACAACGTTTAGAAGCTGAAGAAGCTATTGATAATGCTATTTTAAAAATGGATCAAGTAATAGAACTTGAACAAGTATGAGCTGAAATTCCTTTATTGTGTTTGTAGGATGATGATGACGATGAAGATTCAGCAACAACAACAACAACAACAACTATTCATTCATCTCAAAAAGTAAATTTTGTTAAAGACTCATCCTACTCTGATCAAAAAGAAAAAGAATCGAAAATAACCAATACGTGTGTGTTTAGACATAACAGACTATTCATGCTCTTCCTCTGCTCGTTGAAGAAAGTCAAAAATTGATTAGTCAATAAATCATGTGTATCAGAGATGTGCACCGCGCGCGCGGAGGCGGAGGCGGAGCGGAGGGCGGTCCGCGCGAGCGGCGCGGACCGCCCCGCCCTAATGTCAAACATGGCGCGGTTGTTGGGCGGCCGCGCCGCCGAAAAAAATTTTTAGGGACGTCCGCTCCGCGTCCGCCTCTCTAGGTAATATGTCCGCCGGCGGCCGCCCCGCACCCGCCTCTCCGAGTAAAATTTTTTAATGATTGTATAGAATCATGGCTGTCTGTGTGAATATTAATAAAAAAAACCCGCAACTTATATGTTAGTTCAAGAATTTCTTCAAGCAAATTGTGATGCTTGATACTGTCCTTTTGTTTCTTTTTTTTGTCCAAGTTGAAAATTTTTCGTAGACTTCATCAGGAATCTTTAACAAAAAACAAGCATCATACATTGAAAAGTAACGGAAGCAGATTAAATCGTTAATAGTCATTTTGCTTGAGATACCTTTAACTTTTACCACCTCACTTTCATACTTATTGATTAAATCTAAAGATTGAATACTAAGCAATGTTCATTAAAAATTATTCCGATATTAAATTGACCTATATCTGAATTTGATGAATTTCATTCGGAAGAATATATTGGGTTGGCGGAATGAAAATTAGACACTAGAAGAAGATATTCAAGAATATCTTAGCAACTTTTTCAGCTCAAAGCCAAAGGAGTTTTATGCTGAAGGCATTCATGCTTTGCCTACGCGTTGGCAAGCAGTAGTAGATAATGATGGCGATTATATAATTGACTAATATTATTTATTTATTAAATAAATAAATTTTAAAAAAATATTCAAGTGTCCAATTTTCATTCCACCAACCTAATAGTTTTTAAAGTTATTCTAAACTTGAATTTGTGCAACTCAAGTGTAAAATAAATTAACACGAAAAATAATGCTATATCAATACGTACATGTCTAGTTAAATCTTGTTAAACAGTACATCCTTTCATGGTCCCTTCAATTTTATGTTGTCGTTCATATTTGAATGTTAATAAGTGGCCCGTTATGTGTTGAGCAATACTATAGTGCAATAAGTTTGGAAAAATTTGGTATAATGGGTTTCTCCAGTTCTTATCAGGCGGACCGCCCGGCGACCGCGCCGCTCCGCACCTCATTGAAAAAGAAAGCACAGGCGGCCGCGCCGCCTCCGCCAAAAAGCTCTCTAGCGGTGACCGCCTCTATCACGATTTTGGGACTTCCGCCTCCTTTCCGCGCCGCCTCGCTTTTGAGGCGCGGTGCACATCTCTGATGTGTATAATATGAGTTTAATTGAAAGAATACGATTATTCTATAATTCTACACTTTGTTTCTCAAAAAAACATACTAACGTCATTATGGAAGACTTATCCAATCCATTCTATATAAATTATCTATTTTATGCACTAAATATTTATTTTCAAATGCAAGACAAGTGTAACAATAGATCTACATTAATAGAGATTGATGTCGTTTTCTGCAATTATCTCACTTGAAAGAATTGCATATAGGCTGAGAAAACAAGTAGAAAAAATGTGGATGAACGACTTTAAACATTTTGTTTTCTAGTCATTTCTAGATGAGTTTATAGAGCTTGACATTGCCCTATATATCAAAAAAAAAAATTAGAAAAAATTCTGAAAATAAATCGTATTACGATCGTTATCCATTAAAACAGAGTTTTTTTTTGTCTATAGTTATTCCACACTCTACAAAAATTTGACAGTAAAATGGAAAAGAAATTTTTTAATAATAAGTAACCATCGGTGACCTTTCATATCAGACGACGGTCATTCATTGACTATTGCTCTCTTATTGTTCGCTTGAGAAAAATAAGCATAGTATATATCTATTTCTCTCTCTCTATATATATGTATATATTTGTCTTTTTTCTCGTCATTTATTCGTATTGCCTGTCATTGTACTTTTCGCTTCAATGGCTGAAAAACAGGTGATTGCTCAATAAATTCATACAGATGAAATTTTGATATTGACTCAATTAATTCATTTATTTTTCTTTCGTTTCAGAATACACAAATTGAAAATATTAAAAAAACTGATCAATTAAAAGCACAATTTCTAGCAAATAACATCAGTTATCAACAGTATTGCATTGCTGTGGCATCTATTGTTCAGCAAGACCTACCACCATCATCAATTTAATTTTTGTTTTTCGTCATTTAACTGTTCTTCATCTTATTCAAATGGACTTGATCTTATTCAACTGTTCTTCTTGATCGTATTCAACTGTTCATCTTGATGTTATTCAACTGTTCTTTATCTTATTCAAGTGTTCTTTATCTTATTTAACTGTTCTTTATCTTATTCAATAACTCATCTTTGTCTCATTGAATGATTCTTTGTCTTGTAGAATGGTTCTTTCTCTCATTCATCAACAAGTTATAAAATGAATTGACACTAGGAATTTTCTTGATGATTTTATAACATCTAAGAATGATTTACTTTATTTAAAAATGAATGGTCCAGCTGGATATTTTCGTCTTATGATAATAAATATAAGAAGCGAAATAAAAGAAATAATTATTGAAGATCAAAACGATTTGTTAGGAAATGTATCATATCTTTATAAAAAATATTTTCTAGTTCGATAGTTATTGTGTGTGATCGATTATATATAAATATATAAAGTGGAAAGTAGATGACAATTGCGTAAACCTGACTAATCGATTGGTGCTATTTCTACTTCCTAAATTCAGAAATATCAATTGATCATTAAAATATTTTTCGTTTTTTTTTTGTGGATGATGAAAATGAATGAGAAATCTTTATACGTCTTCAATAATTTCTTTCTCTAACAACAATTTATGTGTGTGACTTTGCTCAAATACTTGATGATTTACTCATGTAGTTTAAACGAATTGAATTTGAAGGTTTAGCTCTCAATGCATTAATTATCGAACAAATCTTTTTGTAATTCACGTGGATTCGATTGATTATATGTAGTTAAAATGCCAATGTTTTTGGTTCATTGAAAAAACTTAATGAAAGAAAGCAGTCAAAATCGAAAAATCTATATGCTTGTGATGGATTTTCAATTGCGATCAAACTCTAGTTTCAATTGTTGCACTTGTTGGAGTTCACCATTTTGATATAGTTTTTGTAATAGGAAATATTTGAGGTAATGGTGAATATCATCAAGTATGGCATAAAGAGGAATAAAAAACTAACAAACCGAATACTTACCTTGATTTATGGGTTTGTGATGGATGGCTTACTGATAATTAATATACTTGATCGCGGAAAAAGTCTCAGTGATAGGTGGTAGTCATGGTGGATGAACTGTAACTGCTGTTACTAATATGAAATCAGATTTATTTGCTTGTGCTGTTGTACAAGTAGATGTACTTGATTTCTATCGCTATCAGAAATTGACTATGTCTATGGGGTTACGCGTTCATTTTTTGAAAGATAATCATTCTTTTATATTATTTTTTCGTTAGACTATGATTCGTATGATGAATATGATAGTTCAAATGCACCCAATGAGTTCGAATGAGTTATATCAATATCACCATTACGAAAAAAGAATCCGATAACTTCAAAAATATATTCAACAATTTTTTTGTAAAAACACGTGATAATAATGATCTTATTGTGTCAGCTCATACATGTAAATATATATGTCAAACACAATACCAAGTGGGTGAAACGATCAATTGTTTTTCGTAAGCATCCTAAAAAATTGTACTAAAAATCACAAAAAAGTTGGATGTCACGAATAGAATACTGCATAAAAAAACCGATCAATTGTTTAGGTTGTCTATTGGCGATACGAATTGAAGTACGAGCTGGTTATGGTAAGTTTTGATTGTTAATAAATATTTCTATGAATTCTCTTCTTTTAGGTGTGATTAGACTAGCAATAGAATGAATTGAAAAGATATCTGACATATACTCATTCATTTCATATAGGTGGGACGTGCAATGTCATACAAGATACATATCCACTCCGTGGCTGGAAGTGTAATAAATCCTTTTACTTCTGCTATTTCGAACGTAACAAAGGTACAGAACTTAAGATAAGACAATACAATATCATTTATTTGCGTATTTTCTGACTTGAGATTGTCGCAATAGAAAATGATAACTTACAAAGGCCTGCATAAATGCAATGCGAAGTCATCACAATTAGAGTCGATTCTGTCCTGTCGAATATTCTCATTATCTCTTCTACTCACAGCAGCTAACTCGAGACCGTTTTGCGAAACTTACTGAAGATGAACGGTAAAACTCATATTAAAGTTCTCTAGAACATCGTGACACAAAGTACAAGTTTCGTTACAACGAAAAACATGCAAATTATGGAGACTGAATGCATACGCAACTAACTATAGACTTCAAAATCAAAAATCATTCTTGTATTATAAACATATTTATACTTCTTAATTATTAGAGTTATAAAGGATTTTATTTTTTTTTAATATAGATAAAGGACAAAGATAAAAGAAAAACATAATAGTCTACGAAAGAAAAGATATCAGTCACTGTATTCGATTGATATATTATTGTTTTTTTACTAATGAAACAACTTTTTGAGCAGCTTTTTCAAAATCATTTTCAGCTGTAATAGGAAATGAACTTTGATCAAGTATACGACGAGCTTCATCCATATTTGTTCCTTGTAAACGAACAACAAGAGGAATTTTTAAACCAAGTTTTTTACATGCTTTTTCAATTCCATTTGCAATTATAGCACAATTAACAATACCACCAAATATATTGACAAGTACAGCTTTAACCTAAATATTTTTTTGTTATAAAAGAAAAAAAAAATATATTAGATTTTTTTAATAAATATTATTCTAAGAAAATATTTACTTGCTGATCACTAAAAAGAATTTTAAAAGCGTCAAGTACTTGTTCTTCTCTTACACCACCTAGAAATAAATATTTTATTCTCTCTCTCTCTCAAATGTAAACGTACCTTAGAGCATATCGAGTCCGACATTTATGTATCCGAACCGTAGTCTTAATTTCAATGAAATTTTTTAATGTACAACTTGATTCAATTATTTTTGATAGTTTTCCAGACTCACATGTACAAAACATATTTCTTCTTCCGTCAGATACGTTCAAACTCATTTAAAACAAATCCCACGTAATAAAATCTCTGATGCTGTTGAAGGATGTATCCTTCAAATTTTACACCAAGGCTACTCTCCCAGTCTAGGATAGTAAACATTTTGAAACTTGATGGAATCAACGTAGCTCAGTCTCTTATGTCCAACGTTAAACGAAAGATTTGTCGTCAAAGAAATTCTCAATTCAAAATTAAAATTTTCGGAAAAAAACAGCACAAGCGACATCTATCATCAAGAAAATTGACATCGAAAATTCACCGACTCAACGGACGATCACCAAATCTGTTCATGTTGGCCAATCTAGTGTCTCGAGAATCATCAAAAATGCTGGTTTTACTCTTCGAAAAAAACCAAATTAGCATCGTCAACCATCGATACAAAAATTTCATTATAACTGATGAATCTTGGTTAAAATTAGAGGAAAACGTAAAGTTTGCTATATTAAAAAGTCTGATCGAAACTATGATCAAATGATTATTCAACAAAACATTTCTCGACCCATCGCGATATGCGCCTTGTTTATTTTCAAAAAAAGAAAGAATCAGTCAGCTATTTGAATAAATGCAAAATTAATTTTATTAAATCAGAAGAGTGGATGCCAAGTAGAGTCCATCGGGCCCGGGTGTGAAAATTTTTGTTCATTGTGTCCGAATCAAAAATAAAAAAGCTTTTGATGAATATAATGATATTTTACGAGTTTCTTCTTCTTTAGAAAAAAATCATTGTATATTATTTTTTCATGTATATGATTCAGTACAAAGCAAAATGTTATTGATAATGGAATAGTTGTTGAATAGAAGAAATAATATAAAGCCTTTGTAATGTATACATTCATTCTTCTATAAGAAACTATTGATAGAAGTAAGAACTAATTGTAACTTAATTATTATGAGATCTCTATCGGGTCGTTTAAAGAATAGGTAAAATATGCTTAGAGGTATCATTTTCCTGTCAATTTAAAATAGATATAAATTACCAATAACTTAATTTACGCATGAATTAAGTTGAAAGTAAATATTAACTGACTTCCCTTACGTATACTAGTCATGTAACAGAAAAAAAAATGAAAAGCATATTGCATCTTCAGAGCGGCAATCAAAATCAGATTAGAAAATTTTATTAAGAAGAGTAAGAGTACAGTTCAAACCCGGAACCGTCAAAAATTCTTGAACCCGATGGGCTCTAATGCCAAGCAGTCCTGATGCTACTCCTATGAACTATGCAATATGGGGATGTCTGAAACAACGACTAAACAAAACAAAAACTTATTCTCTTGATAAACTAAAAAAAACCTGTTGTACGAGTGAAAGAAAATGGATCAAAGTTATATCGATAAAGTATTGGCTTTCTGACCGAAAATATTTAAGACTCGAGGCTTTCATATAAAACATCGTTTAAAACTATAACTAGTTTTTTTTTATACGAAAAATAAAACTATCAAAAATAATTGAATCAAGCTGTAAGTCTGATAGTTCTCAGACATTTTAACAGTATAATCTGTTGAATTCAATATTTTATCCAGTGTGACAGTAGCACCCCTCCAAAGGTCAAATCCGAGACAAGTAGAATCCGATATTTACCTCCAACATCAAGAAAATTAGCTGGTTGTCCACCATATAATTTAATAATATCCATTGTAGCCATAGCTAAACCAGCACCATTAACTATTTAAAAACAAAACAAAAAAAATTCGTATGATTATATATATTTTTTTTTATTTTGATCTACCAAGACAACCAATATTTCCTTGTAAACCAATATAATTTAAACCAGCATTAGTTGCTTCAACTTCACGTTGATCACTTTCACTTGTATCTTCCATATCAAAAACAGCTTTTTGACGAAATTTTGCATTATCATCAAAACTTAATTTAGCATCAAAATTGATAACTAAATATGAACATCTATTTTTGAATTGAATTATTAAATACAATTACCTCGTTTATCAGGTGTTTCACCAAATGGATTAATTTCTAAATAAAAAAAAAATAATGAATATTGAAATAAAATAAAATTTTACCTATTTGTGTACAATCATATTTTAAAAATAATTTATATAATTTAAGAATTTGATCTGCTGCCTTAAAAAGAAAAAAGACTTTTTATTTATTTTTTAAATAATAAATAAAATTCAAAAACAAACTTCATCAGCTAATTTATTTTTAAAATTAAGTTTTTTTGCCATATTTAAAGCTTGTTCTTTTGTCATACCAGTCATTGGATCAATAGCGATCTAAAAATTTGCAAATAGAAAAAGTAATTTTACCTTTCCCCCCTGTTGAAATTTAATCAAAATTCTTACAGTAAAAATTTGATCCGGATGTTTTTCTGCTACTTCTTCAATATCAACACCACCCATTGGTGAACCCATTAATACAGCACCACCATATGCACGATCAAGTAAAATAGCTAAATATGTTTCACGTTCAATATCTAATGCTTCAGCAACCATAACCTAGATAAAGAAGAATATATCAAAAAATATTTTCATTTTTGAAGTTTATTTTTCAAAACCTTTTGTACTTCAACACCTTCCGGTGGTGTTTGTTTTGTAACAAGACGATGTTTAATCATTTGTTTAACAAGATTTCCACATTCAACTGGGCTATAAGAATTAAAAATTAAATTTCGTTGAAATCAATATTCATTTACTCTTTTGTAAGTTTAACACCACCTTGTAATCCACTATCAAATGTACCTTTACCACGACCACCAGCTAAAATTTGTGCTTTAATAACTAATTCTTTAGCAATTGTTTTCACTGAAAACAAAATTTTATTGTTTTTTTTCTTTTTCGGAATAATAAATTCCTACTTAATTCTTCTCCAGCACGTTTAGCTTCTTGAGGATTTTCAACAACTTGAAAACGTTGAACATTAAGATTACTATCATTTAGAATTTTTTTGCTTTGATATTCATGTAAACTAATCCAACGTCGTGACTTTAAAAACGAAAAATAAATAATAAATAATTTATTTTTATTTTTGTACCTGATATGCTGTACAAATAGCTGGATTTTGACGAACAGTTGAATAACATAGACGAAGTACAGCTTGAGATTTCATCTTTCGTTTATTTTTTTCTCCTTCCTAATTTCTATTCCAAAAACAAAGCAAAAGAAAAATACAGATTGATTTTCGAGTAGAAACAACACAATACTGATTGGTAGAATTAAATTAAATGAAAGTTAAAATTATTTTATATAGAAAAAAAAATTCATTTTTATTAAATTAAAATCCAAAAATTTAGAAAAATATAACAAATTTACTATGAGAAATAAATTTATTTTACAACGACATCTACAAATCGGTTTCTAAGTAACGTGAGATCAATCGATATTCGTTATGTAGATTTGATCAGTCACATGTGAAAAAAAATTATGGCAGGAAGAGGCCGTGGACGTGCACCAGGTGAATATATTAGTTTACCACCAAATGCAGCATCACATGTTGATGCTTATTTTGAATATCGAGCGTATGTATTCAAGATAAAAATATATTATCTATCAATATTTTATATTTAATAGTATTGTTGGTGATGATGATGGTGGAAACTTATTTACACCAGAAGAATATGAAGAATATAAAAGACGTGTTTTACCAATGGTACAAATTTATTTTGCTATTTTTGTTTTTAATATTAAATAAGATATTAGATTACATGAAATGACAAAAAAATTTGAAATTTAATACATATTTGTTTAAGAATAAGAATAGATGAATTGACCTTTGCTATAGAGTAAAAGAAATGATTTTTACGTTGCTATGTTTTTTCTTTCTATTGAATAGATTCAGATACATATGAGAACTTAATTATTTAATCATTTGAACTAAAGAATTTTATCGTAGGATGTAATATAAGACTGACAAGTAGTGTTCTGTACAAGTACGACTTTTTATAACTGAGCTCGGACCGAAGCTAATTGAGTGTGTGAGTGTGGACAATGAGAATAAGTCCGATGAATTTTATCAAGTTTTATATATAATTTGAATATTTTAAGCGTCTACATAATCGATTATTTATATCATGGGTAAATCCACACGGAATGGATTGTATTCTTGTTGGACCACAACATAAATGTCTTTGTCGACATAAGTAAATTTAATATAGAAAAAAATTCATTAACAATCTTTTGTTTTTCTTTTAATAAAGATTTACTGAACATAAAACTGATTTTGCTGAAATTCCTACTGGACGACCTATTCTTATTCCATGTCGTCAATCTGGTTGTCGTTGTGTTTCATTTGAATATGTTGCAAATGCATCGGGTACAAGTGATCCTAATTGTCGTTGTAAACATTCACTTGAAAATCATGGAACACGATCACCATATAAATGTCAAAAAAGTATTCATTGTTTTTGTTTTTTTTTGTTTTCAATCGCAAAAGCAAAAAAAAAACAGATTGACTTTTTATTTTTATATAGATTGTAATTGTACAGGATTTTCAGCTCCATTTACATGTACATGTGGTGAACCAGCATATAAACATATAACATTAGTTGAAACAAAAGAAGAAAGAGAAAGACGTGGTCATCCAACTGGTTATGCAACACCATATAAAGCAATGGGTGGTTTAACAGGATTTAGTTCATTAGCTGAAGGATATTTAAGACTTGATCCTAGTGGACGAGGTTCAAAAGAAAAATTTTCTTAAAATTTGAATAATTGTTCTATATCATAGGTCGACCTGATGATGATTTTCTTAATCAACCAATAACTGCTATGGATCATCCAATTCTTCGTGTACATGCATCTCATGATCCTAATAGTGAATATGATTTATTTTTTTACAAAAATTTTTTATTATTTGTTATTTGTTAAAAGGTGCTGAAGCACAATCACAATTACGTCGTCCTGGTGAGTCAGAATTGGATTATTATGAACGTCGTTATCAAGAACGAGTAAATCATAAATGTTATTATCGATTTATAGTTTTTTTTTCTATTTTTTCTCTTAGCAACGCCTTTCACGTGGTATTCGTCAAGGACCTAGTCCTTATGATGACAATGCTAAATTAACTACTGGTACTCGAAATGATAAATCACCACCACGGCGAATTACTGGTGGTAAAAAATAAGACATGTCGTTTGTTTTTTTTTGTGAGGGTTGGGCTGCTTTTGTATACTTTTTTGGGATTTATTAATATATGATAAACAAGCCGGTGAATAGAAAATTAAGTTTTAAAAAGACTTAATATCAATTGCGAAGTCATTTTTGTATTATTTGACTTGTGATATAGCAATAATTTTGCTTTAGGATTAATGACCAACAGAAATCAAAGTTTAAATATTAAATCACAAAGAAAAATCATTTACCATTTTACTTTTCTCTTTCTTTCGAATGTTTTTATTCTAACGAAAATTTTATCATAGTTCCATCAGTTAATTAAACAAGATTAAAATGCAAACGATAGTAAAATAAAACAGTTATGTCAAAGTGGGTGTGGATGATAAACTTTTTCTCACAATCACTCACGCCGCCCACACCCACTGTTCATCAAAACATAAAACAAATTTTTCATTATTTTTCAAACTTTTAATAAGTTCTTGATGAAAATATGGACCAAGACCATGAGATAAGACATACGAAATCTTCTTCGACTGCATACTAAATTGCTGGGCAATCTTAGAATCAGCGAACATAGTACGGAAAACATCACCAATTTCATCACATGAATTGAAACTTTAACCATGTTGCACAATTGTCAAAGCCCATACTGCTACAGCTTTAGTAACTTGTTCTTTAAAATGTAATATTATCGGTCTTTTCACACTACCTAATCGTAATTGTGGTGTTGCAATAACATCATCGGGTGTGGGTGGGTAAGGGTGTTCCCTTTGTCGGTCACCATGCGCACACCCCACACCCACACCCTATACGATGATCTTATATATTGTCTTGATAGAAGTCAATCTAAAACGGAGGCTATGATAAGAAAGAGAAAATAAGTCATATGTCAGATATTGATTGACCTTATTTTTAAATATGAAAAAAAAATTGGCTAAAATTTTATTCCGTACTGTTAAAAAATGCAAATAGAAAAAACGATTGTCATTTGTTTGGTAATCGTTCGCTTATTGTTGTATAGCGATAATGTAAAATAGTGAATACATTACTTTTGTACTATCTTTCGAAAATTCAATCGCTAATTATTGAACCTTTTGAATTTTGAAGAGCGTCTTCTAAAATTGATTTTCGAATTTTAAGTCATTTCTTTCTTTAAGTCTGCTACATATTTTTAGTATGTATTTGATTTCATGAGTTGAAATTATTCAAAGTATACTGGATACTTTTTAGATGGATTATAATTGGTTTAAAAAATAGTTCTACATGAATAACAATTAATCGAATAAAAGATACTTACTTCTTCTTTTTTTTCACTTCTAAGAGTAAATCCAATAATGACGAAGTACACTGATCTAAATAAAAACTTACCAGAATGATGGATTAGTTCAAGTAAATTTCGTTATTGTTCATTTGTCATGTCAAAAATTATTTTTCCTTCTACATTGCCAAAATTCATAATCACCTTCTTCGTTTTAAACTGAATTGCCTTTACATCAAGCTTGTAATGGTACGATGTTAATACAAAAGTGTCCGTTTATTGATCCGTGAATGTGCCTAATATAAATCTACCTAAATATTTTTACATAATATACAGAGTGTTCCGAAAATCCGGCGTGAAAGTAAATTCGTATTACTCCTTTATTTGTCAAAAATAATTCATCACTTTTTTTTCTCGTGTTTCTCTACAACAGGATTGCTTTCAATAGCCATTCATACTTTAAGATAATAGTATATTTAATTGTCTATTAGAAATATATGACACAGATTTGAAACATCGCTCCGTTGAATTAGCTTATGGAATCAACCTTGATGATGGCAAAAATGAGTGCACCAAAACTATTAAAATACGACAAGCTGCCAAGCACCTTGAACTTAAGAATTGTCATGAGTTGTTAGATGGCAATAATAGAAGCCTCGTGATAGTGATATAAACATACTTATCTCTTAAAGGAAGAAAGAAAAAGTTCAATGAAAACGATGAAGCAAAACTTATACAAAAGATAAAAGTAAGGAGATCAGCGAAACAATCAATTAAAATTCTTCATGTAATACAAAAAGGCAAAACTATTTTCCTAATTGATTGGATTCGAATCAATGAAATAACAATTTTCGTTAAACTGCATTTGTGACAACACCGGTACCGACGCCCTTCTCAAACATTCTTCATAGAATATTTCAATGCTAAATTTTTCTCAAGATAAAAATTATTTCGAATGCTATAAAACATAAATATTTATGATAATTGAAATGGTACTAATAATTTTTATTGAAAGAGTTCATTCAGAAAAAAGAAAAATACCCATCAATAACTAACTCAGTCATCAAGTCATGTGTAATATTATCATACTATTATCTTTCTTTTGCGTTACACATAATACAAAATAACGAACTTTTGCTGTCATCGAGAACATTCAATGAAAGCAGAACGACAAAAAGAATTTTGAGTATAAAAGAACGATAACAACGTATCCTTATATAACTCTCTACTATTCTTATTTATCATATTGGCCTTTTCTACTCGATGCGTCTTAGATTTTAATGAAAACAAACATAATAAATAATTAAGGTAATCTACATATACTAAATTATTATTCATCTAAAAAGTTGATGTGTGTGACTATTTTTTGAATAATTCGAGAACCAAAAAAAAAGAATAGAGATCTGCAATTTTCACCATTCGAAAGAGCGACTCAAAATTTTATTGCGAATATACAAATGTTTGCAAAAAAAAACTATTTTTTTTCCGTGACAAATTTTTTGCTATTGAAAGCAATTATAAAACTAATATTTCTAGGGATGAATCATCGGCAGATATTTATTATACAGAAGTATAATTTCATTTCTATTAGATGCATATATATCAAATCATGAGACCATCATCATATCTCAATTTTATATTTTCGAAATAAAGGTATACGATCTGTCGGCATTATTCATCGTGAAACAAATATCCCTCTGAGTACTATCTATTACAATATCGCCAAATTAAAACAATCAAATTCACTTAAACATCGAGGTACAAATGATTGATCATGTGTACTAAGTGAAAAAGAGATAAAAGCTATTGATCAATATATTCCACAAAACAATGAAAACTTGTCCAAAACACATCGTAAATTAGTATCTACATTAGACATCGGCGTGACCAAAATGTCATGACCAAAGAAAAAAAAAGTTATTCAATTATAGTTTCAATAATAAATGTGAGAACCGAAACTTATTTAACTATTCTTGTTCAGAATTTTCTTCTCTTCAAAATTATATATGAAAGTCGAAGAATCTGATGATTCATAACAGAGAAACTTGCATCACATTAGTCGTGACCAGAAAACGTCGTGACTGACCGTGACCAGAATTGGTCACGACTAATGTGATGTGATTTTCTCTGTTATGAATCATCAGATTCTTCGACATTTATATACCATTTTGAAGAGAAGAAAATTCTGAACAAGAATAGTTAAATAGATTTCAGTTCTCACATTTACTATTGAAACTATAATCGAATAACTTTTTTTTTCTTTGGTCACGACATTTTGGTCACGCCGATGTCTAATCTACATCAACAATCAGTTGTCATCTTCATGATTATGATTATAAGAATGTTTTACCAAAAAAAGATACTCATATGTTGAAATCCAGCGAATAAAAAAAAAACGACATGTACAATGGGCTAAATAACATAAAAATGATGATTTTACACGTACAATTTTTACAGATAAATCTTCGTTTTAACTATTCGTCGTTGATCAAAACATTCAAATAATGAATTAAAATATGCATCCAAATAGTTCATATCTAAGACGCTGTAAGTGTCAAAGGTGTTTTGACTTGTTACATATTCAGATATAATCTCGATGGTGTCTATTATGCTCATATACTTGAAAACTACGTTCTACCTACTACTAGACGTAAGTAATAAACAAAAACAATGTCATATTACTGTTTATTTTTTCACTTTAGGACAATTTCATCGAAATTGACGTCTACAGTAGGACAACGGTCCAAAACATCGGAGTAATATTTATAAATAATTTATCAGCGATAATATACTGGAATTATTAGATTGATCATCGAACATTTCTGATGTTAATTCTATTAAGAATATATGGTGATCGATCATAAAACGAAAAGTTGAAATTAATATTTATAAAAAATTGTGTGTTGTTCAAAAAAAAAAGAAACATGTTTGTCTCATATTTCTTCTAAAGATGAACGGATAAAATATTGAAATATAATGTTCAATAGTACCAAGCAACATATATGAAGCAATTTGAGAATGACATATACATAGAAAAATACTGGCATAACAATATTTCCAAGGTTTTTGTTTTTGCAAACATCTGTAGATACTTTTGATATCATTCTTTTGAATGATGAAAACTGTAGGTTTCTATCTTTTCGAATGAACAATAGATGACACTATTATATAATACAATACACTAATGACATCTATCCCATTAATATCATGTCATAGAAATTTTCTATAAAAAAAACAAACTTTTTTACTTTTCTATTAATAAATAATTTTTTTTCAAAAATTAAATCATATTTAATGAAAAATATCTTTTTTTTTGTTGACCTCGGTTGCTCACCTACCACCGGTATGGCTCTTTTGATCATCACCCATCGACAAGATGAAAGAAATAAGCAAGAGACAGAGACACCCACATGATTCTTAACAAACAATGATGACGGATGAATAAATCATATAATATATATATATATCTAAGATATTTTTTGTAGATACTTAATTTTTTTTTTCTTTCAAATATGTCTCGTCCAACATCAACAACATTAAATAAACTAACAGAATATGATAAATTACAACAAATCTTAGATAAAGTACGTGATTTAAAACAATCATTAGCTAATATTTTTGCAGAATATGAACATGGACAACCATCATGGCCAACAATTCTTGATGAAATGAATGTTTTATCATCACAAATAACAACATTACGTGCATCAATTCGTCAAATGTTACCATTATTACGTACAAATTCAATTATACCAATGTGTTTATCACCTGAAAATGATCCTAATATTGAACAATTAACTGAAAGACGTTTATCAATATTTAATCATGATTTTATGCCACAATTATTACGTACAAAAAATTTACCTGAAATTGAAGAACGTGAACGTGTATTAAATATAAATTCAAATATGAATAATAATATATCATTTGGTCGTACAATAACAACACCAAATGAAATACAAATACGTGTACAAGAATTAAATTCATTATTAATGAAAATAAGTGAATTATTTCAACATACAAAAGATATGACAGATAAAAGTGAAAAATTATTTGATAAACAAACATTTACAAATCCATTAGAAACAAAACGTTTATTAGAAGCTATGAATTATGGTATTGGTCTTAAAGCACCTGATACATCATCATCATCATCATCACCAATAACAACAAATGAACAAACAAATTTAAATCAACAAATATCAACACAACCACGTGTATTAGCACCACCTGTTAGAATAAGAACATTACCAAAACCAAATCGATAAAAAAAACCAAAATTTTTTCCCTTATAAATAAATTTATCTTTGTTTATTCTAGATTATTTAATATTCATCTCATTTATCATCGAGATATAAAATATGAAAGAAAAACGGATTTTTCTCTAAAAATTTATATTTAAAACAAAAAATTTAAAATGAGTAGTATTACATCCACAACAACATCATCAACACAACGTAAACAAGGCGTTGATAGTATGAATAATTAATATTTATTATTATAAGAAAAAATGATACTATAAATTTAGATCGAATAGATGCTAATAATTTAAAAGTAGTAACAGTAGTTGCAACACGAGGTCGTGGTACTGAAATATCCGAAGAAATATCATATACAGATACAAAAGTTATTGGTAATGGTTCATTTGGTGTTGTTTATCAAGCTAAAATTGTACATACAAATGAACAAATAGCTATAAAAAAAGTTTTACAAGATAAAAGATTTAAAGTAAATATAAGATTTTTTTATTTTTTTTCTCTCTTTAAAAGTCAAGTTGATTTAGAATCGAGAACTTCAGATTATGAGACGACTTGATCATCAAAATATTGTTCAATTAAAATATTTCTTCTTTTCATCGGGTGATAAAGTAAAAATTTTTAATTTTAAATTATAAACTAAATAATTATTCATAATTGTTTACTTTATTATTTTTTTTGTAGCTCAAAGAAGAAGTTTATTTAAATCTTGTACTTGAATTTGTACCAGAAACAGTCTATCGTGTTGCACGTCATTATACAAAACAAAAACAAACCATTCCGATTCTATATGTCAAAGTATGAGTCATATAGATTTATTTTGTCATGATTTATACAGTCAGTTTCTAATTATAGATAGACAAAGAAAAAAATGGATCCTTATTTTTAGCAGAAATAAGAATTTATTAATCATTGAAATTCATATGATTAGATAAAGTTTATCTTGAGCAAACAGATTGTATGTAGAATATAAACTGTGGTTATGTACGCAATTCATTCAATGATTTTGTTCTACATTCATACAGTAATTTTATTAGATAAAAGTTTTTATTTTCATATACGATATAATTGAATATATGATTCTGAACTCTTAATCTTTTGTAGAAATAGAACAAGTTTAGAAGTTATCAATGTATATTTACTTAAATCTTAAGAATAATATTTTCTTAACTAATAAAACATTCTTTATGTAAATATATGATGATTCATAAATAAATTTAAATGTCATTATGTTTATTATCAAAAATATTATATTTAAATTTTAGTTGTATATGTATCAATTATTTCGTGCATTGGCCTATATACATTCATTTGGTATTTGTCATCGAGACATTAAACCTCAAAATTTATTACTTGATCCGGAGACATCCGTATTAAAATTATGCGATTTTGGCAGGTATGAAATAAACATCACAAAAAAATATTTTTAAATTTGACTTTTTTTTTTTTTGTTAAGTGCTAAACAATTAATTAAAGGTGAACCTAATGTTTCATATATTTGTTCACGTTATTATCGTGCACCAGAATTAATCTTTGGCGCAATTGATTATACATGTTATATAGGTAAAATTATTATTATTATTCTTTTTCTATTTAAAATAAAATTTTTATTATTATTAGATGTTTGGTCATCCGGATGTGTATTTGCTGAACTTTTACTTGGTCAACCAATATTTCCAGGTGAAAGTGGTGTTGATCAATTAGTTGAAATAATTAAAGTATTAGGTACACCAAGTCGTGAACAAATTCGACAAATGAATCCAAATTATCAAGAATTTCGTTTTCCACAAATAAAAGCACATCCATGGCATAAAGTTTTTCGTAATAAAACCCCACCAATGGCTATTGATCTTGTATGTCGATTACTTGATTATACACCAGCTACACGTTTAACACCACTTGAAGCATGTGTACATGCATTTTTTGATGAATTACGTGATCCTGATACACGATTACCAAATGGACCATTACCACCATTATTTAATTTTAGTCAACAGGGTTTGCTGATTTATTTATTTATTTATTTATTTTTTAATTAAAATTCTCTTAATTTAGAATTAAATATAAATCCAACGCTCAATTCACGTTTAATTCCTGCACATATGCATGGTCAACAACCAGTTACAACAACAACAACAACAAGTGGTAATGTTGTTTCATCAACAAATTCAACAACATCAATAAATAATGCTTCAGCAACTGGTATTAATACAACAGGAGCAATAAATATTAATGAAAAATCAATAACACCAACAAATCATTCAACAAATACACCACCACCATCAGTTTTACCAACAACAAATATGAATGGACCTGATGAAAATAATCTCGATGAACAAACTACAGCAACAACTAGCAGTGATTTAATTAATAAAGATCGATCTTAAAAAAAAAAAAAAAAAACATTCGATTTTGCTTGTTCTAATTTTTATTATTGTCGTATGTGCGTGTATTTATGTATATCAGTGGCTTCTAAAAAATTAATTCTTTTCTTATGTATTATCGATGAAATTAACATCATATGATCAAAGATAATTGCTGCTCGAATTTATTTTACACAAGCGAAGAACAACTTTTAGAATAATTATATCATTCGGCTTCACTATCTATCTTCACTGTCGCATCTCTTTTTTTTTTTTTTGTTTTTTTTTTTCTTTCAACATGCTTTTGTACACTAATTTCTTCTGCTCGTTTATCTCCCGAGACTTGTACTATCCTTGTGTGTTTGTGTTTGTTTCTATATATATATATATATATTTTTCCTCACATTTGTGTTGCTGTTCTGTGTGTGTGTGTTTGTTCATTTGACTATCTGCGAAAAAAAGAAAAAACAGCTTCACCATGATGTCAATCGCATTATATGCACATGCATTACATTTTCTTTTTTGTCCTCCAGTTTCTTTTTTGTTTGTTTGTCTTATTTTTCTTTATTCTCTTTTCTTTTCTTTTTTTTGCTGTCTTTGGCTTCTTTTTATTTCTTTTCAGCACATATAACATAACATTAAAAAAAAGTCTGCAGCAAAAATAATGAACGAAACTATAAAAAGAAAAAAAAAAGACTATGACTTATTAATTTTGACCTTTAACAGAGTACTTATGTTTACAAGCATAATAATAGTTTTTACTTGTCAATGATCTTGTCATTTATTGTTTATTTATGTCAAGAATTATGACATATCGATCTTACAGTTTTTGTGATACTTGGAATAGAAATAATATACTGATAAGAACAAGACTGTCATCATCATGGAATTTACAATTGTTTGAATTGTTTGTTTTTCGAACTAGAAATCTGTAGATTTGAAGGATATGTATGTGTGTTTAGGTTATCATAACAATAATAAAAATATGTTTGTAAACAAAATGAAAAAATATTTTTGAAGGAACATCAATTATAGATTTTATTTTTGAGAAGATATATTCTAAAATCTGCAAAACGAGAGACATCTTTCGAAATAATGTGATCATGCGTAACAAGAGGGCGCTGCTTTTCAAATAATGACTATCGATGGCAGCCAATTGAGTATAGTTATTAATCGATTTTATTTATTTGTTGAATCATTTATATCTATCTCGAAATAATAGTTTTAGTAAAGATTATTAATTAACTATAAATATACTATCAAGATATGTATGTATGAAATGAAAAAAAACATATGATTATAAAATTCACTTTCTATTTATGTTATATTGACATTGAAGAATAATTTCGTTATTGCGAACAAAGAAATTCGAATAAGATTTTGTTTCTTTTTTATTTATAAGTAAATTTTTTATGTTTTCAATTTGCGTATTTATTCGAATTGTTTATTGAACTAGTATTAAAGGATAGGTAGATCGAATCTACTATCGATCATTAATATAGACGTCAAAATGATGAATAAAAATTCTTTACCATCTTTCGTCTGATACAAATCATTGATGTATATTTAATCTAGAACTGATTGACGTTTTGAATTTTTTGTCAATAAATTTTATAAATAATAATAGTCTATAGAAGATTTTCTTTTTATTTTAAGATTAAAATTAACGCATTGGATCGAATTGTATAACCTCCAACAATTCTTAAATTAGAAAAAATAGGTTGTTGATATGAACATCCACATTGTTTAAACGAAGGTGTACATGATGAAAATAAGAAATGAAATTGTAGAGAAAAAAATAGAATAAAAAAAAAAAAAAATCATTTTTTGATTTTTTTTCTCTATATTGATTATTTCAATTGAATGAATAGTTTTGTTTTTCTTTATTATAATAAATATTTTTAATAAAACATCTGTTATTATTCTCATCATATAACATTTTTGACGTCGATACAATATATTTTTTATTTCAGTCTTATGAAAAAAAAAAAATAATAATAATTATAACATTTGTCTATTATGTCCTATATTCTGAATGTTATACAAAATAATTTTTAACTAATTGAAGTGATCGACTTCTATGACTAATTCGATTTTTTTCTGTTTTATCCATTTCAGCAAATGTTTGATGACCTTGTTGTCCTTGTTCATTATCTGGTTGAAATACTGGATCCCAACCAAATTTATTTGGTCCACGTGCTTGAACAATTCGTCCTGAACATCGACCATCAAATATAATTGGTTCACTTGTTGGTCCAGCACAAAACGCAAATACACATTGTGCATATGCTGTTTTATCATCATAACCAATAAGTAATTTATTTAAACCATCATATCCTAATTTATCTAAAAACCATTTTATATATGGTCCTGGAAGACCATGTAATGCATTAAAACATAATGATGTATCTTCAATTAAAATTGGACCATTTATACGTTGAGCAGCTAATTTAGCTTTTTCTTTTGAAATTTCTTCTGGTTCACCTTGATATTCTGGTACCATTAAGGGCTCCCCCCTCAAAAATGGATCTCAGCCCAGGTACGTTCAAATGGGCTGAAATTTGGAGCATGATGTTGGGGCTGAAGTGAGGAGGCTGTGGTAAAATTTTCAGCTCGATACCATGACGTTTGACAGAGATATGAACCAAACAAGGGTCAAAAATAGCTCATTTCAGCGCCAAAATTTCTCTGTGGACTCTCATTATATATATATATATATATGTATATTTTGTTTGAAAGCTTGTCTCTAGGGCTAGCCCCTCTCGTGGCCCTTTTTTCTAAATTCTTACTTTTTAAGCGAAGAAAAGGAGTGACAAGTTCAATGACTCAAAAAACTCCGAAAAAATGGCGCTTTTTCTATGAAGATGTGTTCTTATATAATAATAAAAAGCTTATTTTAAAAATCGGGCCACGAGAGGGGCTAGCCCTAAACACGAGCTTTCAAACAAAAAAAAATATATGACTTTATATTGAACAGTGGTCGAATGGCGGTGGCGCTACGTCGTCGAACCTACCTTCTGAGAAAAACGTGAAACAAGTTTTTGAAATAGCGGATGTCGCAAAAAAAACATGCTTTATTTTGCGAATATCTCCGCACAGACAAATGATAAAATTTTGATTTTTTTTCAGAAGATTCGCCGTGAAAAACTCTACAAAAAACTGTATGAACAAATTCGAATTGACTCGTTCTGATGGTTTCTTTCATACTCAAAATGAAAAACATACATGATCTATTAAGGCCCCCCCCCCCCCCTCAGAAACGATTTTCCACTTCAGATGGTCCTTTTGGGCTGAAATTTTCAGGAATGAGTGATCTTGGAGAGATACGCTTCTGGTAAAAATTTCAGCTCGATTGGTCGCACTAGACCGGATTTCTAGCTGATTCACAGGTCATTTTTGACCTTCAGAAGAATCGATATAACTTTGTCGTAAGATGGGGTAGAGAGCTCGGGTTGGTGTCAAATTAAAGCCAATGTGAGTACGCAACTTTTGTCCGAACAGAATTTTGAAATTCAATCTCATTCATTTTTTATGAGCATTTTAGTGGGATGGTCTTAAAATTAGCATAAAAAATGGTGGTCCAACGACAGTAAATCCCACTTTTCTCAGCCCAGGAACCAACTATAAAAAATCCGTTCGGACAAAAATTTACTCTCACTAAGACCTTTAAAACAAAAGAAAATTATTGGTTATAGCTTGAAACAGGACGGAGTTATTTCAATTTTTCTGTCTGGAAACCGTATTTTGAGAAGAGCGCTAAAGAAATTTTAGAACTGGATTTTTTCATTCAAATCCAGAAAAAATCATATTACAATGGGATATTATTAATTCATTCCAGTGGATCGTTTTAGACTACGTAAGAGATGAAGGTAACTAACGCCATCTGACATGCTGGGTAATATAAAAGTGTTCTACTCAACGCTAATGCAAGTGGCAACGCAATTTTTCCAAAACTGAAATACCTGAAAAATCACGAAAATTTCTCCGAAAATATGATAGTAGAGTCAAAGTTTTATATAAGTCTTTGAAAATCTGCTCATTTTCCAAAAAGCTATATATATTCTGAAAGAGGAAGCTTCGCTGCATCTTCCTGTGATAAAAACTCAACTTCGATATTCCCTTGAAAAATTCGACTTTCTAAGGGGGGGGGGGGGCCTTAAATAAATCAAAAACAAAAAAATAATTTATTTCAATTTATATTTATTTAATACACACAATCGAGCTCTTCAGATTTTAAATTAGGTAATACATCAGCTAATATTGCTTGAACTTCAGCTAATTTATTCTTATTTCCTGTAACAAAAGTAACTACTACCATTCTCTTTCTTTTTTCTTCTATCTATAAAAGAAAATGTATAATATTTTGTTCTCGTTCTTTTATATAAAGAAAATAATAAAAAAAAAACATATCCAAAAACGTTAAATATTTTTCGTTGTCACAACAACAAACAGAATTCACCTTGTCGTAAAGTAATAGATTCATAAAATTATCGAATATTAAAATATAACGATGATGAAATATTTTATACTATAAGTCGTATGACTAATCATCCCAAAAAAAAATTTCACAAATGTTTTGCAATTGTATTCTTATTATTATTATGAAATATATATATATAATCAAGCAAAAAAACAATCAGAACAACAGCTTTTATGAAAAATTATCCATAAATGTTTACGTTCTAATTTAGTTTCTTCATTGATTATTCCAATATCTGAGATGCGATTATTTCAAGATAGTTCCACAAAAAGAATTCGAATCCAACACCTATCACAAGACTAATTCAAGTTCTAATGAAAAAAGTTTTCGCAATCCGACATTGGCCTAGGCGGATCTGAGATTGGACGCTGACATATACATAGATTCAGCAGGAAGAGAAGAATGTACGATAGTCGAATAATAATTTAGTATATAGTTTCCATAAAATACATTTATATTTTATCGAAAGTTCTAGGTTTTTCAAGCTTCTAGTGAATACACTCACTATCATCAGCAAATACCAACAACAATACAAACTATAGAGAACAATTACAGGCATTTATATCCAGCTGAATGATTTAAGAAGAGAATATTTTGAATAAAAAGAGAGAATATATATAAGAAATTATTTGAATCTATGTTCGCTCAATAGGTTTTTATATTTTGTTTTTTTTTT